GCCTCAGCCTCTTGGAACGCTGAGATTATGGGCATACACCACCACACTTGGCTTTAGTTGAATACATGAACTTTATTTCTGGATTCCTGTGTGTTCTTTTGACATGGAAGCTTGTTTCCCCTAAAGCACATAGTAAGTGCTAAAAAAAAATGTATTAGTATTCCTGTGATTACTAGACAACAACAGGAATATAGTATGTGTCTCATATGATCTTTCCTTTATCAGGAAATTTATGCACACATGTCTATCCATAGTTCCTATTTATCTTTTTACTGTTTTTACCCTCGTGGGTAAATACTACATCATATTTTTAATGGTTTATTAATGATACAGAGAAAAGCTGGTAACTTTTTTGCACATTTATAATTGGCTTTCTATTTAGACACTTGACTAAATTATATTATTCTTTCTAATTATCATTTTTTTTGCTTTGGGTCTTGTTTATGAACATAGCACCAGAAAATATTGTTAATTTCTGTGTCCTTTTCAATAATTATTCCTATTCTGAGAACTTATACACTAAGTATTGAAATTTATTGAGTGCATTTAAGTAATAATTTAAATTACTATGGATTTTTCTTTTTTGAAAAACATATTTAGTGTTATAAAATTAAACTATTTAAATACTACATCAGTCTTTTACTCCTGGATCAACCCTTCAAAGATATGGAGGACTATTCTTTTAATTTAGTACCAGATTTGAATGGCTGATTTTTTTCAAACATCTTCTATCTATAGAGTGGGATCAGCTGTGTGTGTTGATATGTGGGTGCCTGTGTGTGCGTGTGTGCGTGTGTTTGTGTGTGTGTGTGTGTGAATGTGTGTTTGCGTGTTTGCGGTATGGGGAGTAGAGGTGGGAGGATGTGTGTGTGTGCATATGTTTGCTCTGTCAGCTCTGTTAACTGCAGAAAGGGAGTGAGGCTTAGCTACTCATTTATGTCTATGATTTGAAATAGTTTATGTAACGTGAGGACTATCTATTCCCTAAAAACCAGAAAGATTTCACTGGAAAAGCCATATGGTTCAAATAATCACTTGGAGGCAATTCTCTGAGTTGCTTCTCAGCGTCCTTCATATTTACTCTTCTGTTTCAGGGGACCAGCTCTTCTGGAGTCAGCTTTGGCAATACGTTCATTTCACTAAAATTTTAAAGTATTCATTTACCAAGATTTAAAAATTTGTGAGCATAAAATCTCATACAGTATTTTTTAATAGTGATTCTCTTTGTTTTTGTAAATCTTTATTTCTAATTTTGTTCATATTTCCCTGTAGTGTTCTAAAAACATTTGGAAGTTTTTGAAAAGTTAACTCTTAATTGTAGCACATATTTACATTTACAGAAAAGTTACAAAGTTATTACAGAGATTTCCTGTATATCTACACCACAATTTCCTCTGGTAAGAACATTGTACATTAGTATGGTGTGTTTTCCAACTAGTGAACCAGTATTAATGTTATTAACTAAAGCCCAATTTTATTCAGATTTCATATTTTACCTAATGATATCTTTTTGTCCTATAATCCCACATTACATTTAATTCTCAGTTTTCCTCAATCTACGCTTGCTTATGACACTGTCTCAAACTCCTTCTTCTCAATGACTTTGACAGTTCTGAGGAGTCTCGGTCAGGCATTTTGTACAATGTTCAGTGACTGGGGTTAATCTTGTGATCTCCTGTTGAGACTGAGATTAGATTCTTGGGAGGGAGCCTACCGAGTTAAAGTGCTAGACTGTATTGTTAAAGCGCTGTATTATATTACATCATGCTGTTATTAACATACCCTCACCTTTGCTGTTAATTTCAGTCACCTGGCTAAGGAAGTGCTTGTCAGATTTTTCCACTGTAGTTTTATTCTGCTCTTCCTTCTTTTCCACAAGAAACTTTCCAGAAGGAAGTTACTGTATGTGGCCTCCTCTTAAGGAGTAGTGATTTAGGTTTCACCTCCTTGAGGGCAGAATATTTACATAAGTTATTTTGACTTATTCTACATGGGAGATTTGTTTATTCTTCCCTAATTTATTAAATAACTTATTTGTATCAGTATAGACTTGTGGACATTTATTTTATACTTTGGAATAGAATTCATTACTACTTTATTTTGTTTCTAAGTTGTCCAGCTTTGATTGTTGGGAGCTCTTTTATTTGGCTTCTCTGTTTCTACGCATACTTGTCATCGTAGGTTTTGTTTTGTTGCTGTTGCTGAGTATATCCTTACTTTATGGTGCTACCAGGTGTTCTAGACTTGTATTAGTTAGCTTGGTGCCACTGTGACCAAATACCCGAGGAAAGAGCTAAACCATAACAAGACACATCTAATTTTTTCCTTCTTGAATCCTAGAATTAGGGTCATCTCCAAGGAGCTCTGATTCCTTTAATTGGAGAGTGGCATTAGAAACCAAAGACTAAATGTCTGATGTGATTGTTGCATCAAGGGAGTTTTTGATTCTCGGCCTTCCAAGAGAGGAAATATATATGTGTAAACTATTAATGTGTCTATGTGTACCCATCTGTATGTATGCAATACAATGGAAATATAATGCTTTAGATATAGAATATCCTCAAAAGTGTCACATGTTCAAAGGTGTGGCTTGTGACTTACCCATTGATGACTTCAGTAGCTGAATGTACTGTTAGGAGGTGGGGCCTAGTTGAGGTCATTCTCTGAAAATGACCTGGGAGGGTTCTTGTCCCAATCTCCTTCTTTCTCTCTTTGCTTCCTGCCTTACAAAGGGTTGAGCACCTTTTCTTTTGCTGTGTCTTTCTGCCATCCTCTTTCTGCCTGGGAGCCAGCCAACCATAGACTGAACCTGTGAGACAAAATAAATCTCTTTGCAGTTGTGGGTGTTGGGTATTATGTCCCAGCAATGAGAAAGTAATTAAGAAATATATTTTTCAAATATTTTCTCCTGATCTATGGCTTGCCTTTGCATTCTCTTAACAGTATGTTTTAAATAGAAAATTCTAATTTTAATGAAGTTCAATTGTCAATTTTTAAAATTTCATGGGTAGATTTATTTTCAATGATAGGTAGTAGATACTTGTCATGTTTTATGAAACACAAACTGCTACAACCTGGGAAATTCTCTCATGTTGAAAACAGATACAGAAACTGAAAAAAATTATGTAGGTTAGAAGTTTCTTGCAAATATACAGTGTCTAAATTAGCTAATAGAAGGACATAAAAATACATTACATTGTTCAACAAAAAGTTAAACAGTGTCATTAGAGTTTAGATCTGAAACGTCCTCCAAAAGCCTAATGTGTTTGGAAGGTGATTGAATCATGGGGCACTATACTCACTAGTGGATTCATCCATTGATGAGCTCAGTAGCTAAGTGTGTTATTAAAGAAGTGGGGCCTAGTTGGAAGTTGGGTATGATCTAGGAGGATGTATTCTTGTTTTTGTCTTTTCCCTCATCTTTTGGCTTCTAGGAAAGTATGAGGCAAGCAGCTTTCCCTTGCAAGACCTTTTACCATGCCATTTCTGCCTTGGAGCTAGCCAATCATGAATTGACCAAACTGGAAACTGTGAGCCATATAAGCCTCTCCTTCTTTAAGGATGTTTTGAATTTTGTCCCTGCAATAGGAAAGCTAAGACAGAAAATTGATACCAAGAATGGGGTCATTGCTGTGACTATACCTGACCATGTGTTTCAGAAGCTTTTGGAACTTGTTTGTAGGAGGAGCTTGGAAAAGTATGGAGAAGTAGGCTAGAGAAGTGCCTACACTGCTGTAAGCAGAGTTTGATGGGTAGTTCTGGCTGGAGCTTAGAAAATCAAAATGTTGATAGGCCAGGCTCAGGAGATTTCTACTGGGAATAAGGACTCAGTTGACATTTGGATTAGAGGCCATGTATGTGATACCCTGAAAGAAATTTGTCTTCATTTTTCCATGTCCAGAGACTTTGTAGGAGACTGAGAGTAAGGGTGGTGGACAATTGACCTGGTGGAAGAAATTTCAAGGCAGCCCAATGTTCAGGCTGTGGCACAGATACTACTGACTGCTTTTAGCTAGATTGACAGTGAGGATCAAGAGCAAAAACCAGATGTGAAAAGTTTGCAGTTTCACCAGAAAGGAAGTGCCTACAGAGTTCGGGCAAAGAAGAGCATGGTTGCTGAAAAGATGAGCATTTTTATAAAAGCCAAATATTTTGCATCAGAATATAGGAAAGACGGTTTGAAGGCATCTCAGGAATTGACCAGACCCCAGCCTTCCCAGGATCAAGGGTGTAAAAAGGCAAACTCTTTTAAAAGACAATGCTTTGGTTTTCTGTTTTGTTATGGAGACAGGCTCAAGAGAATAAATCACAAGGAAGAATACTAACTACCAAGAGTCTTCTAAGTTTTGTCTTTCAAACATATTGTTTTATATTGTTGTGGTGGTTGATTTTTTTTCTCCCCCCAGTACTGAAGATTGAACCCAGGGCATTCACACTGCAGTATATCCCAAGCCTTTTAAAAATTTTTAACGTTGAGACAAGTTTTCACTAAGTTTCCCAAGGAGGGCTTAAATTTGCAGTTCTCTTGTCTCAGCCTCTCTGAGTGCTGGGATTAAAAGCATGCACCACTAGAGTTGGCTTCACATTCTTTTTTCTTAATGACTGACCATATATTTGAAATCTTCACCTTGGGTATCTAAAAGAAAAAAGAAAAGCACAATTATGACTACTTGATATGCATATTCTTTGTATTATTAACATTAGGGTTTAATGGAGAGTTAATGTAATATTTTAGCACGCTCTCATAAATCCTTTTTTGTGCTAGGGAAATGCTGTTCAACTTTCTTCACTTCTGTGGTTTGTTTCAATGGCTCATGTATACAAAGATGTTTGTCATTTCTACTTAGAAGTGACACTGACACTGTTTTAAAATTTTTATTTGTATAGAGGGGATTCATCAGTATTACAGCGAATATTAGATCTGAGCTCTTCTTGAACAACTGTGTAGACAAGTCTTGATTTCTGTGAGTATTAAACAATTGATTTTTTTAAAAAATTAGGTCCTTTTCATTCTGAAGATGAAGACACTCTTTTCTCAGTGTTTCATACTCAAGTCCCTCCAGAATATTATGAAAATGGTATGCAGAATGTCAGTCTAGGTAGGTTTTATCAATTTGTGTGATTGTATATATTGTTATAATAGAATACTCACTGTACACAGAAATATTTATGGATGTCATGATTTTATATAACTGAATGTAGAGGTAAGGGAAGAGGGTACACAATTGGTTATGAGTTGATCCTACAGAAGTTGAGATTCATTGTACCAATTTCTTTACTTTGGATGGTTGGAATTTTGTGTAAGAGTTAAAGAGAAAAAGCTGGCTGCAAGTAATAGAAACTGGACCTCAGATGCAAAATGACAGAAAAGATCTTGGTAGTAGAAAATTTTCTCTGGTTCCTAAGAGTATATCCTATGGTTAGTGAGGAAGGTCTAGTTCCAGAATCCTACAAAAGAGACTAATTCAGCTTGGATCAGGTGCCTACCTCTGGTCCAACCAACTTGTCCAACCTAGGTAGGGTTGATAACACCAGGCAAGAGGATACTCCTGTGGTATTGCCAATAACAGGACAGGAGAAGGGAACTTTTCCAGTGAGATAGTTCTGGCCAGTTCATCCAGTGTTGTTTTCCTATAATTTATTAGAAGTATGTTTTAAAGAAATTCTATTATAAATATAGAAATAGCTGCATTTGTGTTACTTTGATGCTATATTTTTAAGTATATATGAAACTTGAACTTAATGCACTCAGATTTTAACTAAAAAGACCACAGTCAGCTTAAACAATGGAAAAAAAAGTGGTGTATTTTTTATATGTGATGTGGCCACTCACCAAAAAAGTTAACTCATACTTTGCATATTGGTAGTTTGTATTGGTAGTAATTATGTGATTAATAAATAAAACCCCAATTATAAGGCAGGGGCTTATTTGCTTGAAAAGAACTTAAATTCAGAGATCTTAGTTTTTTTCTATTTCTTCCCATCTATTTCCATCAAAATTTATTCCTTAATGGTTAAATCTGTATTAAAGCCAGGCAGGTGGCGCATATCTCTAATCCCAGGATTTGGGAGGTTGAGACAGGAGGATCATTGTGAGTTTGAGGCCAGCCTGAGTGCTATAGTGAATTCAAGGCCAGCTTTGACTACATAGTAAGAACTTGTCTCAAAAAACAAAGCATAAAGATTCTGTATGGAATCTTAGATAATTATCTGTAAGTAAGGCAATTGATTAGTTCCCTTAATTTTTAATTGAGGTAACTTTTATAATAAAACAAAGGTAAATTTAAAATAAATATTTTTGGCTTGAACTACTGACTGGACCCTTTTGGACCTTACTGTGGCATTTTTTTCCCCCATTTTGTAGGGTAAGCTCCATTTGTTGTCTAGGGAGACTGTGCATATTTTAGAACTTTAATGAAGGGTTCACATGCTCTTGTTTTAAAATCTCTGAGCATGAGGCATTGAAAGATATTTAATAAAAGGAATACAAATCTACAAGTATTAGTTTTACCTTTGTTTTGAGCACTGAGATCTGAATGTCTCAGGGCTACTTGAGGCTGAGGGAGGTGTCCAGATGAGACGCAAGACAACCATTCACTTCTGTCCAGTGCTGAGCACAAAGCTTGCTCTTCAGAAAGAAAGAGGGCAAACTAATGACATAGTGGAATCTACTTTAGGGATCTTTAGTGGCCATTTTATTTCATATAAAGATAAAATATATTTTAAAGATCCTCATGACATGAGAGATTTCTTGTTCATGTGAATGACTTGAAGTTCTGTTCATATGTCCTATAATTTCCAAGTTTGATTCAGGATACTAGCACAAGAAGTTTAAAGAGACCTTCATTAGAAGTTATAGTAGCACATTTATCCTTTTAAGAAAAAAATACTATATTAGTTTCTGGATCTGGAATTTAGAAGTTAGCCATTCTATGTGTTTTCTTACATATTTTAATATATACTCAAAGTGAATATTAGTATAATCCACAATTGTAATTATGAAAACAATTTGAACTTTTTTAATATTAGATTTTACCTATGATGTGGAAAGAAATGAGTCATTGATCAAAGCAGAAAAGAAACCTTTCTCAAAAACAGAAAAGATTGAGCTCAGGGGTAAACACAACCAGGATTTTCTTAAGCGAAACATTGAGGTATGTACTTAGAAATAAAGAACCTCACTGTGGGACTAAATGAGTTGCAAAATTGGTAATTGTGTATTCAGGGTCTTTAAATTGTTTTCATTCACAATTAATGCATGCACCATTGAGGCGGTATATATAACTTAGAAATGTTCCATGAACTAATACATACACTTACTTTCATATCTTATGTTTTTATCATTTTGGGGGGAAGCGTACTGGGGGGTAAACCCAGGACCTTGTGCATGATAGGGTTGCACTTTACCACTGTGCTACATACATTCCCAGCTCTCTCCCATCCTTTTCTTCTCTCCTTTCCTCTTCCCTCCTCTTCCATCTTTACCTCTCCTATCCTCTTCTTTCTTCCCTTCCCTGTCTTGTTTTCCTTCCCTCTCTTTCTTAGCATTTCCTTTGCTATCCTATCCCTTTAAAAAAGCGAAAAAGGGGAAATAAAGTATTTGTAAATGGAGAGGAGAGGAGGGGGTGAAGGGAGGTCAGGGATATGGGAAAAAATGAGAACCAAGACCTGTTATGTAAAGGTACAAGGTTGCAATGATGAATGTAACTGTACTGTATACCTAAAGTGTACCAATAAAGTCAGTGAGAAAAAAGTGCTGCAAAGAAACATTTTTTTTTTGCCACCCAGAAATAATTTGGCTCTTAACAATTTCAAAACAATTTCTTCAGATACATAATAGCTTTGGACAATGTTTCCCAGATTTTAAGTAGTGCATCAGTAACACTGGGCTTTTTAAAAGTAAAGAGAGTGATTGCATAGCTAGTGCATTTAGAAATTAGCAAAAAATGCAGGGCAGCAGGGTGGGCTGGCGATGCCCCCCCTGGTAGAGCCTTTGGCACTGGTCACTGTCCTTGATTGGCTTCCTGCATCAAGGGCTCCTCCTCCATCCTGCAGATCCTGCCTCGTGCTTCCGTCATCTTTCAGGCAGATGCATTCTGATCAAGGGTTCCTGAATTAGAAGGAGAGGTATTTGAAAGCTGTTTTATTATTATTTTAAAAATTTATTTATTGGTATCGGGGATCAAACTTGGGACCTTGCTCTTGAGAGGCAGGTGCGGTGCCACTGAGCTAAATCCCCGGCCCCATGCTTTATTATTATTATTGTTATTGTTGCCATACTGGGGATTGAACCTAGGGCCTTTGCAATGAGTTACATCCCCAGACCTTCAAAAATTTTTTTTAAAAAAAATTTGAGATAGGGTCTCACTCAGTTGCCCAGGCTGGGCTTGAATTTACAATCCTCCTGTGTCAGTCTCCCTGATTGCTGGGATTATTGTTATTTTTATAAAATGTTTTGTTGAAATGATTAAGACGGCCTGTGGCTTGCTCAAAGTGGAAATACCTTTGCTTGGAGAATGGCCCATTGCAAAAACAAACTGACACAAGGGAATGAGGAAAATGGCTGCTCAGAGGGGACTCCAGTTCACAAGTGGATCTGGCATAATCTTCCAAAACCAGCAGGCATGCAGCTCTGAAAGGAAATTGGGGTACACCAAGATCTGTGCAATTACAGCCCGGGAGTGAAAGTAGTCAGCTGACATCCAGAAAGATGGGTGGTTAGAAAGCAAAGGTAATCAACCGAAACATGGCACTCAGGCACCAGAGAAGTAGTGGCTCACAGGGGCGGGGAATTTTCGCATGCAGCTGTCAAAAGAGAGGCAGCATGCTCCTCAAGTGCTTCCAACTCAGGATGGAGAAACATTTGTGCAGGTGGGATACCCGACTGCAGCCAAGTGATCAGAGAGCAGAGGTAGTTTCCATTCTGTAGCCCAGGATTTGGGTAGGACCAGGTCGGGAACCACCCTAGTCCCCCTTGCTTTCTTCTTTGCCTCATTAAAATGGACTGGAGCAGAAGCTGGATGCGAAGCCATTGTGAGTACCTCCCTTAGCTTAGGCACAAAGAAACCACACTTCATGGCTCAGATGCCACCACATGACAGGGAGGAGATGGTTACCACCATCTTGACTGGAGGAGACTGACACAGTGAGAGAGTGGGAGGAAGAACCTACCTTCCGTTCCTGGGGGAACAGAACAACGAGCAGGGAATGCGTCCTCTGTGTTGAAGCGCATCACTGATGCAAACCGAGCGTGGGAGCTACCCTCGAAAGGGTGGTGTTGATTTATAGCACCGTGCGGATTTCTTGGGAGGCACAGATTACGGAGTGGCCTGGTGCAGAAATACAGAGGAGTGGTATAGACTGAAGTTCAGCGGAAGTGGCTAGGAGGGGCGGACCTAAGCGGCCTCCGGAGTTGTCCTGGAGGGAAGACATCTGACCTCGGGCAGCACCTCCAGCGATCAGCAGAAGACTTGGCCCTCCATCAGCCTCGCCACCCCTGTGGGAGGTGCCCAGACCTAACCACGGGAGTGCGGCTGCAACCTAGCACAGCCCTGCCTGCAGAGGGAACGACCAGCAGTTTCAGTTTCTGTCTGGAAGCCCTCAGCTCCCCAACAAGCTACATGGCAAGGACTCCTCGTTTCAGAACTAAGGGTGAAGAGCATGCTGGCCGCAGCATAATTGGATTGAGTAAACTATTTTTTGTGATTTTTTAAAAAACTTTCCTTTCTTGGTCTTGTGTTTTGAAAGAGCTGGAGGTAGTGGTGGTTGTTAGTAACAATATGGGAATTTGAGCTACATTTCTTACTTCCTTCATAAAGTCATACTAGGTTTTCCCATGTCAAAGTTAACCCATTTCATAGGTTTAGCTAAATTAGTTATTTGATTCAGTTATAAATTGGTCTCAGCATGTTTCTCCTTCCCTTTCTCTTTACTTACTGTCTTAAGTTACTTTCCTCCTCTCTGGGACAAGATAACTGACACCTGCACCTTAAGGAAGGTGAGATTTATTTTGGCTCACAGTTTGTAGAAGTTTCAGTCCATAGACGACTGGCTCCAGGGCAGAATTGCATGGCGAAGGGGCCTAGTGGCTGGGAAGCAGAGAACTCAAGGGAGGAGCTTGAGAGAGAAACCTCCTGGCCATGCCCCCATTGACCTGCCTCCTCTGACCTGGCCCTATTTTCTATTAACAAGTCAGTGATGCGCCCCTGGAACCCCATGATCTTTGAAAAGCACACCTTTGAGTGTGTGAGGACTGCATACCTAAAATGTACCAATAAACTCAATTAAAAAAAATAGAATGAAGGGAAAAAGCGAAACTATTCTTGCAAGATGATATGATCATTTTTACATAGAAAATCCAAATAAACCACCGGAAGACTCTTAGAGCTAATAAATTCAGCAGAATGGCAGGATACAAAGGCAACACACTAATATCAGTAGCATTTGTTAGAAAAAGTCAGTGGTATTCCTTTGTACAAATAATGAACCTACTGAGAAAGGAATCAAGAAAACAGTCCTATTTATCGTAGCTTCAGAAAACTAAACACCTAGGAGTCAAACTAATTGAAGAAGAAAAACCTCTATGATGAAAGCTATAGTACTCTGAAGAAAGAGATTGAAGAGGACATTAGAAAATGGAAAGACACCCCCTGTTGCTGGCAGAAGCAATATCGTCAAAAAGGCCTTATTACCAAAAATGATATTTAGATTTAATACAATTCCAATCAAAATACCAGTAACATTTTTCATAGAAAAAAAAACAAGTTTAAAATTTATCTGGAACCAGAAGATAACCAGAATAGACAAAGTGAGCAAACGAAGCAAGAGGCATCACAATCCTGGATTTCAAGTTTTACTACAAAGCTAAGGTAATGAAAACATCATGTTACTTGTGTAAAAATAGACATGTAGGCCGATAGAATAGAATAGAAGATACAGAAACAACTCCATGCACCTTGTTTTCTGGTCTCTGACAAAGCAGGTAAAAATAAATACTGGCGAAATGAGCCTCTTTAACAAATGGTGCTGGATATCCACATGCATAAGGATGAATCTGACTCATGTCTCTCATCTACTAAAATCAAAATGTTTTAAAGACCTAGAAATAGCAAACAGACACACTGAATGTTCTGGAAGGTAAAACAGGGAAAACACTTAAAGACATAGGCATAGGTAGGCAAGGACTTCCTGAACAGAGAACTCCACTGTATAAGAAGTAGTACCAAGAATAAACAAGTGGAATTTACTAGATTTAAAAGCTTTGGCACAGCAAAGGAAACATTCAACTGAGTGAAGAGACAACCTACAAAGTGGGAAGATGTTTTTCCTAGCTACTCTGTTATAGGACTAATACCTAGAATATATAAAAAGCTTGAAAAAAAATTAGATCCCTCAAAACAAAAGACCCAGTAAAAGTGGCAATTGAATAGATATTTCTCAAAAGAAGTGCTACAAATGGTCAATATGTACATGAAAAAATATTCATTGTCTTTGACCGTTAGGGAAATGCAAATCAAAAGAACACTGAAATTCCTTCTTTCTCCAATAAGAATGGCAATTGTCAAGGATTGAAAAAACAACAGATGTTGGTGAGGGTAAGGGGGAAAGATGAACCTTCTGCGTTGTTGGTGGAAATGTAAATTAGTGTAACATGATGGAAATCAGTACAGAGATTCCGCAAAACACCAAAATCAAAAATTTCTTTGACCCAGCTATAAAGTTAAAAATCATCATACTGCAGTGATACATGCATACCCATTTTATAGTAGTGCAATTCGCAATAGCTAAATTATGGCGACAGCCTACATGCCCATCAACAGATAAATGAATAAAGAAGATGTGGTTCATACAATGGAGTACTACTCAGCCATAAAGAAGGATACATTTGAGTCATTTGTAGGAAAAATGGATATATCTTGAAGCCATAATGGTAAATGAAATAAATCAGACACAGATTAAATATTGCATAGTTTCTCTTATATGACAGTCCAAAATATAAATAATTTAAAAAGGAGAGGTGGTAGGAAACAAGGAGGTAGTCTTTCTGCAGATGGGGGAGAGTTGGGGGGGAGGGAATAAAAATTTAATCATCCAAAGCTAAGTAATGATAATGTATCATAAACATATACTAAGTTTACATTAAGTAGATTACCTAGCAAATGTAAAGTGCCTAATCTGATGCATTTTATCATTCTGTGTATATTATAGAAATCTCAGGTCCCATTTTAATTGTTTTGAACTACAAATTACATTGAGTACTTCATATTTTGCATTTGTAAATTCTGTAGTTAGCCAAGAAATCCAGAAGCCCAGTGCCTATGAGTGACACAGAGAAGAAAAGGCTGGAGGAACTTTTAAAGGACATAGATGACAGAGACTCAGGGCTGTCCAGTTCTGAGGTAGGTGAATGCTGGAGTCAATGACCTCTGCACTCCTTAAGTGTGATTTTCTTATAATTCTGTTAATGCCTTAGCACCAATTTATAATTTGTCAGCTTATGAAGTAATAGTCTGTGATTTTTAAAAAATCCAATTTTATGCATTTATTTTTACTGATGTTTTAAAAGGTATTATTGTTCAATTCACTACTCCCTGTACTAAGTCTTTATAAAAGTGAACACAGGGCCAGGGGTTCAACTCAGTGGCACCGCGCCTGCCTCACAAGTGCAAGGTCCTGAGTTTGATCCCAGTACCAAAAAGCAAGAGTGACCACACATTGTCTGTTTCAATAATACTCTTTGCCCATGGTGTGGTGGTTTTAGTCACTGATGGTGTATGACTGTGTTTCTCTGTATCCTTTTCTTAATATCGCCACACTGGCTCTGTGGCCTTTCAGTATAGTCTTCAGTGATCCTAAAGATCACCTGCTCCTTCCCAGTTCATCTTGATCATCTGTTTCCTGGAGAGCCTGAGTGGGGAGCCCATACTGGGCTGATGGTGAAATGGCACGTAACGTAACGGTCAGAAGCAGTTACGTCTTTGTTGGGTCTGGGAAGGTGTGCAGTGGCCTGCTGCTTGTGCATATTTGCTTATGAGTCTTGTAGGAAGGTTCTTTGCTTCTACAAAGGAATACACCCTCCTGTGTTCCCTGAAGCACTTCGCCCTGTCGTTGGCCTTTGTTCCCCGATGTTTACTGGAGACATGGAACCCTGCCCAGACCCTTCACCTGGCTCCTCTCCGTGTGCACAGCTGTCCCCTTCCCAAGCCAAATGGGAGTTAGGCGGCCCGCCACGTCATCTCTCCCCACCCCAGGTCCCTCGCCTTGAGTTGGGCTCAGTTCTGTGGTGCTACCCAAGGATCACACTAACGCTGCTCTTCAGTGAGACCGCATCCTGGCTTTGCTTTGGACCCTTGACCAAGCCCATTTGTCTTACATTCCTGCTCTGGAAGGCATGCCTCCAGGAAATCACTTGTCTATGAATCCTGACCACAGGTTCTGTGTCTAGGCAGCCACATTCAGACACAGAGGTCCAAGGCAGCTCAGGTGCAGTGACAACTGGGCCAGTGGTGGTGATGGTGGAGAGGCCACAAAGTAGACTCTGCATTAGCGAGGGATTTTCTGTGAGAGTCCCTGCCCAGGACTGCCTGGATCCTCTTAAATTTTGGGGGTTTGGGAGAGAGCAAAGAAATTAAGATTTTTGATGGGAAATATTAGACATTTTAAATATTAATAATGAATTACATTAAAGAAGTTCTATGTGGGGAAAGAGAATGTGCCCCCTTCCACACCAAACCAAAAGCAAATCCACAGAATATCATGTTATAGCCTCTGAATAATCTTTTCTGACATGGGAAGGGCCCAGCAGAGGCTATGTCTAGGAATAGAGGAAGGCCTAGGTGAGGCACACTGCTTAGTGCCCAGGTACTCCTGAGATACTTTAGCTTTGCTGTTAAAGGGCCTGGGATTTAGCTCAGTGGTTCTGCCACCTACCTTGTAAGTGCAAGGTCCTGAGTTTGATCCCCGGTACCAAAAAAAAAAAAAAAAAAAAAAAAAAA